GGATCAACCCCCTCCCCCAGCCCGAATGCATTGCAAAAAGGAACCAAAATAACAAGCATTTACTGAGTTTTTAGGGCACAACATCCTCATTCCGTAAGGAACACAGCTCAATCTATTTTATGCAACACCAATGGAGATAAGGCCCATGAGGAACATGAATCGTTGGGTTGACAACGGTGGTCGATGATGTGAGCGGTGGGAATTGTGACAACCCTACATGTAGTGACCTAAGGTTCCATTGGTAGCTGAGCTAGAGGCGGCCTATGAACGATGGCAGTGTTTGGTTACCATTGTGCAGTGGCTAGATGATGTGGTAGTGATAGCTAGCTAGTGACAGTTCAGTCGTAGTCGTCAAGTTCATGTGACAGATGCTTGTTTAGGGTTTTTGTTGTGGTTGTGATGGAGCTATTGGGTTGGTAGTTGCCGTTATGGCTGTGTTTCATGTTATTGTTGTGCATTTTTTCACTGTATTTTCTCTTGCTCTACACATATGGCCCAAAAATTTTCTACCAGCATTTAAAAAAAAATAGAGATAAAACCCAAGCACACCTTTTGAAGTAAGGGCAAAACAAGAACTGACACTACAAAAATGATCGTGGCCCCTATGCATACTGTGCAAGAACAAACTAAATTCTAAAATACGACGCGACAGATGTATCGATCTGACAGACCGCGGTTACAAAATTGCGGCTGTGTCTAATTCGCGAATTTTGGAAATTTGGTTACTGTAGCACTGTCGTTTTTATTTGACAATTAGTGTTTAATTATAGACTAATTAAGACAGTCCCAATGAAAGAAACTAGTAGTTTCTATAACATAGGATACCGCACCAAAAAAGTACTGCTTTTCAACCCATGGTTTCTATGAGTAATAATTATTTTCTCTTTCTCTCTCACAACTCTATCTTCTTCCTTCAATGGGAGTGCAACACGAGTCCTCTAAAAACTAGTGGTTTCTCCCCTAATGGCGATTTCATGGTTTCTTGGTGCATTGGGTCAAGAGAAGACCTGGTTTCTTCTTAAGGAAACCATTTCTATGATTTTTGCTCTCTTTCTTCATTAACTACGTTGTCATGTCAGTATTTTGCCAACATGGCAAGTTATTTAATGATGATAGAAACCATCATCAATATACCATTGAGACTGTCCTTAGGCTCAAAGCGTTCGTCTCGCAATTTCCAACCAAACTGTGCAATTAGTTTTTTTCGTCTACATTTAATACTCCATGCACGTATCGCAAGATTCGATGTGATAGCTACTGCAGCACGTTTTAGAAAACTTTTCGGGAACTAAACAAGCCCCACCTAACCAAGCAGATGTCAAATCTACAGTACCTTTTGATTGATGACGTTGATACCATGCCTGAATGGCTATTGGCTAGAGGGGCAGGCACTTTTTGGTTGATAGTTTGCCTGGTTGCATTGGGATAATGACTAGTAAACATTAACTGGAGTCAGGAAACTCCCAGGATATCCAAGCGATCGATTTGAAGGGAGCCAATTCCAATCTCCTATAACTAAAAAGAATAAAGTATGTATATTTTTTTATGTGATATTTATTTTGATTTGTCCGTCTGTCCACGTCTACGATCGCACGACATCTTAATTACTGATTGATCGTGCAACTCTCCTTAATTGAATATTGCCTGTCATGTGATAGATGAATCATAGCAAAATAGGAAGTAAAAAATTATTGTGCTATCCATATACACATTACATGTTTACATGCACCAGCATACATGGCAACGAGCAAAAGGAAAGAGAATTAACACAGAATGAAAGAGAATTAAGACAAAAAGAACCTCTTACATTTCTGAGAACCTTGCCAAATCTGCCTATATTTAATTACTTCATCTCTTTGCATTTGCAAAACGGACAATTTTTTCTCCTTTCATTTGGTTTCACGCTCACGTGTTCCATCGCCATCACTTGCTGTTTCTTGCGTGAACCATAGTTGATGTCATCTGTCTTCCATGACTCAGCCTTTCAATTCCAAGAGAAGGTCCCTACCTCTCCCTGACTAGAGATCCGGCCTGTCAGAGGATCTCCTTTAGTCCATCGGGCAACGTCTCGCGTCAGGCCACGACGCGGCATCCTTCCGATCCGCTTGCTCCCCATGGCGTGTCGCCGTCCCGTTCATGACCTTCGGGCCGCTCCTGCTGCTCCCGTTCGACCCCGATTCGGACTGCGTCGGCTTCTACTGCGTCCCGGAGAAGAAGGTCTTGTCCAAGACGCTGCTCGACGTGCGCGGCAAGGTGGTGTGCGGCTCCTCATGTGGGTGGCTGGCGCTCATGGACGAATCGGCATCCGTGACGTTGCTGAATCCATTCGCCGGCAATGTTTTCCTAAACGGTAAACGGTCTTTACACGGTTGCCCTTCGTTTAGCGTTTAGGTTGTTTACACTGTGTTTAAACGAAGTTAAACGGTCTAAACGGTTTTGTACTTTAAAAAAATATATATAATTATATATGTGCATGTAAAAAATCAAGTATTCTAGCATTTATACATATTTATAAGAGTAAAAATCAATTATTTTGGTATGTATATATATTTATGCATGTGAAAAGAACCAAATATAGATATTTATGCATGTAACATATCAAGTGTACACATTTATAAATATAATAAACTTAAGTATACAAATTTATCCATATAAAACTGAACTAGATTTACCTTGTGTTCGCCTAAACAGCCGTTTAAACAGCTGTTTAGCCCATTTAATGTTGTTTATCTCCGTTCCGTTTAGGCCGTTTAGACCGTTTTTTTCTATTTTTTGGTCGTTTAAATGGTCAACCGTTTAATTTTTATTTACCCCCTAAACAAAACAGATTACCACCATTTACCGTTTACTGGCCGTTTATACCGTTTAGGCGAACACTGTTTGTCGGTGCCCGTGCCCCCCGCGTTGAGCTCCCGTCAGCAGACGAACACGTCGCGGCGACGTCCTCATCGAAACGCGTGTCTAGGGTCCACGGCCGATGGGCCCTCCATCCCACCAACGGCTATGGGGACGCGGATGCTGCAGGCAGAGCCATCAAGCTAGAAAACATGAGGGACGTGTCCTTCCGTGAGATCGTGCTCTCGGCGCCGCCTGACGCCGCCGGCCGCAAGTGCGTGGCCATGGCCATGCTAGGGTGCTTCATGGAGGTCGCGTTCTGCCGGGTTGGAGTCGACAGCGTATGGACACTGCTCGACACCAAACTAGAGTTCTCCGTGGGTCCATCGTCCACTGCCAAGACAAATTCTTGGTGATTGACTATACTGGAGAAAACTTCGTCTGCAAGAAGAAGAACGCCACGGCGGCGCTTACTCCAACCGCATGACGCCGCGCCATCGGCCGACTGGTGAGGCTCTGTCACCGTAGCTACATGGAATTAAACGGTGAGTGCACATTGTGGGTGCCATGGTGAGCACGTTCCACGAGACACTGAGCTTTGCGATCTACAAGTGCAACCTCCACGATCCGGAGTGGTCAGGGGTGAGGACATTGGTGATCGGATTTGCGTGTCTAAATATTTCAATGAAAGCTTTAGTGGAACAAGTGTATCCAAGTACAAGAAGAACAAAATCTACATGTCTGAGCCATTGTACGGGGATCCATGCAATTTGGTCCATCGATCGGAGATCGTTGATATTGCTATCGACGCATCCGAAGTGAAGCCCGTCTAGGAAAAGATGCAGGGTTCCGAGGCTTTAGGTTGGATTCGATCCAATATCTGGAAGGATCATTGCAAGACATCAATTATCTCATAGCTTCGGACAATATCGTAAAGCTACTAAAAACTATAACCGTGCCCTCACCTCAAACATTATCTAGATAAATGTATTACAATGAAAGAAATGGATATCGAAGATTTCTTCCTGCCAATATAAAACATTATCTTAGCCGCATCACGGAAAGGTTTATAAAGTAGAGTTTGTGAGCCTGCGACGCCGCGCACTCCGTGACTGTGTTAAATTCATAAACTTTGCTTTTTGGATTAAATGTCACTTTAACGTTGGTATTTAATTTTTACAGTATTGTTATCTTATCGTGCGATCCATGTGTTTTTAGTCTAAATTATTAGTTATCCCGTAGCAACGTATAGACACGCTACCTAGTATTATAAAAAAATTGAGTTTTTTTCTTTAAAAAACTTCGTATGCCATCTGGGCCATCAATTTTTTTACCCGTATAGACCACTGTCGTTATTTAGCATACAATGAACCAACAGGAAATTTCTGCTCCAGGTTCCTTGGAGGCCAAATATGACAGGAGTGGTCCATACGGTTCTGGAAAATATGCGATCTATTCGTTTGGGCTGGTTTGGCTGATAAGACATGGCTGAAAGTACTGTTTGCTGATTTTGTGTGAGAGAAAAATACTGTTCGTTGACTGAAAAAATAAGACTTATAAGCTAAACAACAAGTGAATAAGGCGATAGAACTGATGGTCCAGATGACACATGAAGTTTTTCAATAGCGATCAAACAGCTCAGATCTTTTATAATGGCTTGTAAAAAATTGGCTCTTCCGAAGGACTAGCACCAAGCAGCACATACAGGTAGGCAATAATCTCAGGTTTAATCAAAACATATATCTTAGAAAGATATCTCAGGTAGAGATACCTGCCGAGCATTGTTTGTAAGGGTTCCAAGCGCTTGTGTCATTTTTTTTTTGAGAAACACTTTTTTTAGTGGTTTTGAGAAACGCTTGTGTTATTCATTTGCCTCTCTCTCTCTCTCTCTCTCTCTCTCTTGAGAAGATTTTTTTTTTTTTTTGAGGGGATCTTGAGAAGGATTCATTTGCCTTTCTCGGTTGCCAAACGTTCTCATTGGGCTACAAGTGGGCCTAATAAATGCTTTTATCTAACAAACAGCCCAGCCCAACTAAGTTACTTAGGCAGAGATCCATTCCATGATTCCATCCATACAGCCAGCCAGGGCACACCGGCAAAGTGATAAAAAAAAAGGCACACCGGCAAAACCCAAACCCAGGAGGCACACAGCATCGCCGGCGGCGATGGATCCCCTCTCCGTGCTCCGCGACTACGCCGCGCGCAACGAGCTGGACAAGATCATCTTCTCCGGCGACGAGATCCACTTCGGCTCCGACTACACCTTCCCGGCTTCCACCCCCACCGCCTTCGCCTCCAAGCAGTCAGGCCGCCCCTACCCGCTCTCCGCCGCCGTCTTCCTCGCGCAGCACCACGACCTCAAGCACACCGACTTCATCCAGGCCGCGCGCCTCCGCCGCATCCCGCCCGTCTCCCTCCCCGACCGCAAGACCTTCCTCGACTTCCTCCGCTTCGGCCACAACTCGCTCCCCTCCGCCGACCCGCTCCTCCCCTCCGCCTTCCAGCAGCAGGAGCCCCACCTCCACCCGTCCTCGCCGCCGCCCGAGGACCCCGCGGTCGCCGAGGAGGCCACCACGGGGAAGCAAATCCGCGCGCTCGAGCGGCCCTTCAAGGACCGCAACGCGATCCTCGACGCCCGCGGCCGCGATTTCCTCGCCGTCTTCCAGGCCGCCGTGCGCCGCCAGGACGAGCAGCGCAAGGCCGGCGGCAAGGACGCGGCGCCCTCTTCCCGCCCCGACTCTGGCTCCGCCGCTGCAGCCCTGGCCAAACCCAAGGTGCTGGACAGGTCCCTGGGCGACGGCGTCGTCCCCATCATCCTCGTGCCCAGCGCCTCGCAGACGCTGATTACGATCTACAACGTCAAGGAGTTCCTCGAGGACGGGGTGTTCGTGCCCAGCGAGGAGAGGATGCGGGCGACCAAAGGAGGGAAGCCGGAGAGCGTCACGGTGCAGAAGAAGCTGATTCGTACGGAGAGAGCTGGCGGCGCTGGGGGTGCCGTCTCCTTCGAGGTTAGGGACAAGCCGGCTTCGCTCAAGTCGGACGATTGGGGGCGGGTGGTGGCCGTGTTTGTGCTCGGCAAGGAGTGGCAGTTTAAGGACTGGCCCTTCAAGGACCATGTAGAGATCTTCAACAGAGGTGTGCCTCTTGCTCCTTTATTATTGTACAATGTATTCATCATGCATATACAATCTGTTTTTGATATGGTCGTGTAGTTTCAGTGTGGTTGAAATTTATGTTTGTAGCTTCATTTGACATGCAGAATGTTATATCCATATTATAGGATATGATTGCTTCGGTACCATTTTGTTAGGAGCTTACCTTTTTATCACAAATGAGTTAAAGGCTACGTCACTTGTGGCTTTGAGCAAGAAATTGGTTTTTCTGCAGTGTTTGTTGCCACTTCAGGAATTAAACAGCAGCATGTAATTGTTGAGCTTGCCTGTTTAGCTTCTTTAGACTAGATATTTATGTTCGGATAATCTAAAATGAGAGGACTCGTTTTATGCTTGACACAAGAGCCCTCCTGAAAGACTGCTCTGTCGGAAGCTAGATTAGCCAAAAATGGAATGGATAAAGTGAACGACGGAAGCAAGATACGGAGTCAAGTAAGAATTGCATGCAGGAAGTAAGAACGGGACAGACCTTCGACCTTCGATTCTGGCGATGGCAATGCTCCGGGCTATGGGGGCACTCCAGTTATGGTTAGAATTTAGGACTTGGGTTAGGGGTTCAGGTGGGGGATGGGGATAGGGATTTGTGGATGCTCCAGGTGATGGTGATGGCGGCACTGCAGTTAGGTTTAGGGATCGGGGTGAGGGTTCAGGTTGGGGAGGTTGCCAGTTTGGCGATGGCTGGCAGCGGTCAGGACAGTGAGGTGGTGGGCGCACCACCTGCTGCCGTGGCAGAGGAGGCTGGATAGAAGGGTTGACTGCTGGGGATGCTCACCGGTGTGGTTAGGAGAGGGCGGGTAATATAGGGGCGGTGGTTGGTGTGTACGGGTGGTGATGGCACCTAGGGTAACACCAGAGGCCATGCGTGCGGTGGGTGGGGGTGGCGGACGTTGGACATGTGTAGTCATGTAGATGGCGGGCATCTGGTGTTGGGCATGCTTGTGTTGGTGGTGGCAAGTGAGGAGAGTGGGGGAGGCGGAGGAAGGGATGAGACTGGGGCGAGGTTCGTTGATCCTAGATAGGTCTTGCTTTAGCATTATCTGGAGAGTGCCTTCTGCCTAGATGTTTTTTTGTTCTTCTAGTAACAGCTACTAGGCATCACCAACCACCCTGCTTCTGCTATTTAGTACTGGATAAATTAAATGCTTTAACAACTGTAAGTTCAGATCACCATATTCTGTTATGGACTTTCAATTCCTGTATATTTACTTGTTATTTATATGCCTATATCACTTCATTATATGTACCATCATTTTTGTAGACATGATTAACTTGGTAATTAAATGTTGTATTGAGTGCAAAGAAGGAAATCACTATATTGTTCTTATTCTCATGCAGACGATGTAGGATACTATTTGTGTCATCTAACATGTTGAAACTTTGACAGTTCTTGGTTTCTATGTGCGCTTTGAAGATGATAGTGTGGAGGCAGCCAAGGTGGTGAAACAGTGGAATGTGAAAATCATATCTGTAAGTCTGGGATAAAAGTTGCATATTCTTGGGTACAGCCAGTTCCAACACTGCAGTGCTTACATCTACATGGTTATGCTCTGGTGCAGATAAGCAAAAATAAAAGGCATCAAGACAGAACAGCTGCTCTTGAAGTATGGGAGCGCCTGGAGGAATTTATGCGGGCACGTACATAATTGATGTGCAGTCATGTCTGCCTTCTGATTTCACTTTTACTGAGTTCTTGTTATTATTTCACAGCAAGTTCTAACAGGATTGGATATCATGTTCTGTATGATTAAATTGTCTGCTCAGTGACCATAAGGGAATAAACAATACATTTGTGTTCACTGAAATTTTATTGAGTCTAGCATATTACTATGGAATAATGAGCTAATTTTGGTAACATTGTCAAGGGTATACCTTTAGTTATGTGCACTTTCTGTTGCTAGTAATTGGACGAGCTAGTTTCAGGTACTGAAGAACTTTCTTATCTATTCCATCTGTAAAGTGTTAGAATGTGTCATGGATCAGTAAAATAGGGCTTGTTAAATGTCAGTATAAAGTTAATTTATTTGATTCTGAGCCTTGTTTGGCTTGTGGATAACAGCTCATGTCGTAAGTGACTAAGTACCAATTTATGCTATTTTAGTGACAATCTATAAGGATTTGTTAACTGTACAAATGTTACCCTTTTTGTTTTTGATTCAGTTGTCCTTAAATTACTTAGCTTTTTTGTAAGTTAAATTACTTCCCAAAATTTAGTAGCTAGTCAAATTATCCCCACTGTAATTACAAAATATGGAAGGTGTTCGTAATAATTAACATTTCCTATCTCAAAAAATATAAAGCATAATGATTTTTTGTGATGTTATTAGATTAATTTTAAAAGTGATAACATAATTTTTTTGTGATGTTATTAGATTAATTTTCCCCACTTTAATAAATAATATTCCCTTTGACCAACAGTTACTTTACTAGTACATAATTTTTGTGATGTTATTAGATTTATTTTTAAAAGTGATTACTTATGATTATGATTTTGCTATGTATCTAGATATACACTATGTCTAGATACATAGTTAAAATTATGTATCTAGACAAGCCAGAATGGCTTATAATTTGGAACGGAGGGAGTAGAAATTATTTGTCAAAGCCTTGTAGTAGTAAGAATGAAAGAAAAACATGCCATATTGTTTGGATGGATGGAGTAAGTGATTATTTGCCGATGGTGGTAACTGGACTAGGAACTGTACTACAGGTTATATCTTTTCTAATTGGTAGCCTTTTGCTATGCATCCTTTTGCTGAAGGATCCTTCACCTGTTCATTGTTAGGGCAGTATCCCGTCATATTTCTGTCAAATTTGATGAAACATTTCCCATTATCTAATACTACTCGGTGACGTTGCTTCTCAATGTTGTTTTCAGTGTGACTGTTAAACACCCAAATGTTTTGTTGAGCTGGAGGCAGACTTTGTGCTCGCTGACTTACTGATCGGCATAATGACTTTATTTTTCTTAAAGGGAAAGGATAAAAGACAACCATTTTCCTAGATTCAATCTCAATATTGGTTGGAGGCCCCGTTCGGCTTGCTAAATCTTGGCTGAAATTGACATAAAAATATTGTTCTGGCTAAATTGTTGTAAGAGAAAAATATTGTTCCGGCTGAAAAAAGAAGCCGAACAAGCCGAATATGAGGTAAGCCGAACAGGGCGACTGGGAGCTCATGAAGACCGCAATCTTTGTACGCTAGGATGTATTTGTAATGTTGTACTTGCAAACTGCTAACTTCATATTTCTAGGCAAGTATATGAGATAATTTTGCAAGTTGCGCTTTCTACTAGTACTTCTCTATGTTGCGGGATCGCTGGCTGTCAATCTTTTCGTGCTCCTGCAATTATATGAGGTCTAAGTTTTACATTTTTCTCAATAATCTGCTTCAGTTTGGCGTTATAATGTAAAATGAATGGCCTGATGTGTGAATGCCCTGTTTGCTTGGTTGATAAGCTAGGCTAAAAAGTACTGTTCGCTGATTTGTTGTGAGAGAAAAATACTATACCATGGCTAATAAGCCATGATCTGATTTCCGGGGCATCTGCTTTGCTTCTGTAGATTCTGTACAATGGAAACGTTTTTATTGTAGCTGCACAACAGTAGGGTGCAGTTTCAACTTTACATCAGCACATTTGGCGTTCTAATAGATTAGCAGACTACAGTTACACATACATGGTTGCGAGTGAAGCAAGAAACACAGCGACGAATACAGTGCCTGCAGCCATGTCTCTGGAGCGTGTCGCGCCCGCTGCATGCAGTAGTTCCGGGAGCTTCGATCCATTGCCTGCCGGCGCCGCCGCTGCAGTGGCAGAAGCATCTTCTGTGGGTGTCGGCGGTGCTCCTGACGTGACTGGATCAGCAGCCGGAGTGCCCGACGACGGTTCAGTTGACGGTGTGGTGGCTGCCGGAGTCGTTGCGGACGGAGGCGAAGTGCCTGCCACCGGCGGCGTGGAGCCCTCGCCGGTGGCGGCTTCTGCAGCATCACAAGAGAAATGGCAGCTTGTGAAGCTGGTGAGTGGTGAATGAACCGTACCAGGAACGACTGTTGTTTGTGCGAAAATCATGCATAATGTACCATCGCATGGGTTGGGCAGGTCGCAGACGTTGGGGATCATGGCCTGCGCCTGGCCGAGGAACAGCCCGATGGGGCTGGGCGCGAGCGTGGACGCGACGCAGAGGCACGGCGCCTGGGCCTGCAGGAAGCCCCGGAGCTGGGAGCAGCAGGACGCGAGCGTCGCCGAGCCGACGCCGAAGACGTAGCCGATGCACGGGGACAGGCTGAGTGGCGCCGGCGGGCAGCTGGGCAAGGCCGGGAACGCCGCCGCCATCTGCTGGCCCGAGGACAGTGTCGCCGTCGCCGTGACGATGACGAGGGCGAGAGTCACCTGGAGCCACCGCCCGGACATGGCCGGTGAACGATGACTGGGACTGACGGTGGGGTTTTCGGCGAGGACGGCTGCGGTTGAACGTACGAGACGAGGACCAGGAGGCGAGTAGGCGACGGTGGTTTATACCGCAGGCTGTTGGGAAAAAAATGGGGCTTGTGTGGGTATGGGGCAAAAGATTTGTGTGCCTCACTGCCTCACTCCAGGTGGATGGGCCGGTCTATCTAACTCGCTTTGGTACGGTGTCTGAGTTTGGATCGGTATGCATGCTTCGAATGCGACCCTGCCTTCTTTTCCAGGGTTTATCGGTGAACTGACCGGAGAATATATGTATGTGTTTGCCTCCATGACTCCATGAGAGGTCTGTCTCACTCTCTTGCATTCCAGAATTTGGTTGTTTGTCTTGACCTCAGCTCGCTCGGGTTGGTGATCAGCCCTCTAAGAAGGCGTTTCAGTTCATGGTTTTGGCCTCTAGAGGCTAGTCACCGTGAGGCGTGAGTCATTTATGCCTTTGTGCACCTTGCCCGGTTCATTTTCTGGGTAGACAACTTGTTTGGAAACTGAAACGGATCCAGGGTAGGTTGGTGGTGTCACTGGTGTGAATCGCGTGTGATACTAGCCAATTCTTGTGAAATACAAACGCGGCATGCATGAGTGTAACTAAGAGCTTATTTGTGGATCCACCGGTGCTAATAATTAGTAGCTAAAACTAAAAGTAGTATTAGTAAATTGAAACGGACTTGCTATTAGTTCCACTGATAATAGGTGCCAACTATCTATATTAACAACATATTAGTGGGATCCAAATAACCTCTTGCTAAAAATTAGCTAGCTAGCTAACTATTAGTACCAGTAGATCCAAACAGACTGTAAATGATCATTACAACTAGGAGTATTTGCCTCTATAAGAAAAACATTTTATGATGAATCCATTAAAGAGAAGTTGAGATGGTTAAACAACGGACCATCAAGCGATCCATCGCCCGACCGATTATTGGTACCTTCGGTTTTTTCCCTTTGTTTGTCTTTGATGTCTCCACTAAGACGGTTAGAGTGCGCAACGGAATATGGCCCGGCTCGCTATACCCACGAGCTGACGCCCCTCGGGCCTAGGTCCACCGGAGCCCACAACATACCAAGGTCATGGTCTAACTCAACCCAAAAGACTAGCCTCGATAGGTGAGGGTTGCTCCACTTGTATTTGGCTTTAGTCCCATCATCAATGTACCGATAGGGACTAAACCTTGGTAATCTCCCTGGGATCACACATCGGACCCAACTCTTCACATCGTGGCAACCTTTTTGATTTCCGGAAGACGCTTTAGTCCCGGCCTGAGTCCAACCGCTCAATGTCACACACAACCCGTGGTGACCTCCAAGACGTTAAACGGGCTCCCCATCACCCGTCCGAGATTAGAAAGATTTTTTCGGTTGTTTTTCTAACCATGGACTAAAGATCTCCAATACCACGGGAGCGACATTTTGTTCAACCGGAACTAGTATGATTAGAGTATTCGCTACATAGCTAGCTAGTACATTAGCTAGCTGTTCACCACCGGAGCCCAACATACCCAGGCATTAGGCCTCACTCAACCCAAAAGATTAACCTAATAGGTTAGAGCTACCCTTGTCTTATATGTTGTGCGTAGGAAATCAATTAGTAATTATGGATGTGGGACTAAACCTAACAATTGGTATCGAGAGTACAAATTAAAGGTCTTTAGTCCGACAATTGTTTATTGATTCTTGATGGGCATATACAAGTGAACTCCTTGATTTTATAGAGACCACCTAGATCGCTTGTTAAAAAGTGAAAGCTAACTGGACTCCTCTCTCTCGAACCATGCAAAAACGAACAACAAATCATTTCTTGTTATGGGATTTTTCCTTGATCGCACACCAATGCAACATTTCCTACTACGGTTTATATGCATTGTTGAACATTATAGGTGGCTGAATACTCCACAACTCCTCACATGCCTGAGTCCTCATGAGGCTGTAGCGGTGTCATTGGTTGACCGAGCAATTAAAAAGAAAAGGAATCACACCTTGCATGCAATGGGCTAGAAAATCTGAACTAGACTCCCAAAAAACCGTGTAGAACCCTACTCTCCAAATAGAAATAGAAAAAAACTCCTCAATCTCAATTCCATGACTTTCTATTGTGATGTCAGGTTTAGCCCAGTTGGTATTACCAACCGGGACTAAAGGTCCATCTTTAGTGTCGCGCGCTAAACCGGACTAAAGGATGCCATAATCGAGCATCCCGAGCATTGCCATAAAGGTCCCTCCAAACGGGAGAACAAGCAGTTTCTCCATAATACGATAGGTGAGGGTCCACCCGCTTATACGTTGTGCTCATTGCCACCATCAATTACCGATGTGAGACTAAACCTAACAATCTCCGATCATGATCAAACTCCCATTGATTTGATCCTGAGTCGAAGCCGTCGTCTTCATCCACGTTTACATCTTCGGTCCAACGATCGTGTCACACAACCTCGCATCACCTCCGACAAGCCCCGGCTCCTCCATCACCACCATATGACCTGAAGATTTTGAAGTTTCCAACCATGGAGATTACTATGTTAGAGTGATCTTGAAGATTGTTGTGCTATAGGACGTGAGAAGTCAGTGATTACAAGTCACCGTGAGAGATAGGAAAGATATTATTATTGTTATTATATTACTATTACATGGAATATATATGGATGATAATTAGAGCCCCCATCAGGCGGAATGGTACTTTGGATCGGACTTGGTTGAGCAAATTCCGGCTCTCAAAGCGCCAATTGTTTTGATTGCACATATTGTGTGAACTCCTTGATTTTATAGAGACCGTCCATGAGTCCAGATGGTAGCAGCCGTGTCACCGACTTATTGTCGACGACACATACTTGCTTATGGGAGAGGGATTTTTCCTTCACGCTCTTATCAATGGGTTCGGACACTTGATACATGCATGGTGACTAATTGGAGGAGGGGGAAAGGTGGAGGTCTAAGCACCATATCTGAGACTAGGTCTCAAGTGTCCAGTGATGGTCTAGCCGCGGCCAATTGAAAAAGCAATTAAAAAGGAATCACACCTTGCATGCAATGGGCTTGCGCCTGGACTCCCATGCATGGGTTGGGGTAAGTCCCAATCTGTGGGGAAGAACCTCAATTGGTGGGTTTCTATTGTGATGTCGTGTTGATCTCCTCCTACTGGTGCTTGTGTCAAGTTGGCTCAGTTTTCACCGTGCAGTGCCATAATCGAGCATCCCAAGCGTTTCCATCGACCGTCCTCCAAACCTCGAACAAGCACTTCTCGATTTCAACCGTCCACCGTAGCTCGGTGCATCGGTGCTTTTTTGGTGCCGAAGTCGCTGTCTCTACCTCCGTTATGACAAAACTCCCATTGATCTGATCCTGAGTTGAAGCCGTCGTCTTCATCCACGATGTCTTAGTCGTCTCGTCGAACCTCGCCGCCGCCGTCGAGCCAAGACATCTGAACAAGTTCCTAAGCGCCACCCATGATGTTGAAAGACTATAGATTGCAATGCGTCTAAGACCCGGGTAGAAGGCGGAGTGATTACCTATAGGGCGATCTTGGGAAAGGTATTATTAGGTTATTATATTACTATCACATGGAATATATATGGATGATAATTAGTTCCGGACGGAATGGTACTTTGGATCTAGACTTGGTTAGACATTCGAGCGAGGCTCGGAGGTCACATGTTCCGCGATGGCGTCGATTGAGGACCACCGTTGCTATAGATGGGAGAGGTTGAAGAAGGTGCACTTATTATCTGGGCGCTGGCCATACTTGCTTATGGGAATGGAAGGCTTTTACGGCCTTTTTGGCCCTTTCGACTCTTTCTAACCTTCGAAGCACCGCACAAGATGGGGGTCTAAGCACCATACCGAGACCGGGTCTCAAGTGTCCAGCGATGGGCGCTGCGACCAATTTTGGCAATCCACCGCGGCATGGCGCCGCCACGCCCCTGGGTTGGGGTAAGTCCCAACCGTGGGGAAGAACCTAATTGGTGTTGTTTCGGACTCGTGTTGATCTCCTCTAGTCGGTGGTGCTTGTGTTAGGTTGGCTCAAGTTTTCGCGTGAGGTGCGGTGAGCGCTGATTGACGCCGCTTAGGGCGCGCATGTAAGTTCATGGTGTTTCATGTTTCAATGGTGCTCGGTAGGTGCTTGATGAATTGCTTTCGCCGTCTCTACCTGAAAAAGGTGTCTAGATTTTCGAGTAATTTGATATGTATGTGGTCATTTTTAGTCAAAATTTTATAGCCTAAGTTCCCTACCCCATGATGTTGAAAGACTTCGGAGGCAATGCGTCTAAGACCCGGGGGGCAGTCAGCGTCTAATTGACAATTAAGAGCAAGACTCTGCCTACTACTTTCTTCATCATCGATGGCAAGGGGACATACAGTTTGCTCTTGGGTCTTGGTGGATCCACGCTAATTGTTGCATTCCATCGACAATGCACCAATATCTCATCCAGTGACAAGGAGATAACGTCAAAGTGGTTCGGGTTGACACGTCTGTGAGTGTGGCAACAACCAATCCAGCATATTGGGAATTTGAAGATTGTGAATGCTTCTCTGGCAGAATATGGGAATGAGGCATCATTAAGATCAACGATGAACATCAACAGCCGATCCAAGCATTCGGCTCTGAGAGTTTATTTTGATGATTCCCCTAGTTGGTTGCTATGGAACTGCTAAAAATTGCTATCGTAGATTAGTTTGCCATAATGTAGCCATTCTATTTCAATGAGTTAGATTTGGATGTAGTAGTACAACATTTTTTTAAGAAGCTTGACAGCCGGTGATTTTTGGTTTAATACTTGAATCATCATCGGCTATCTTCGAAAAAATCGCTCGATATGAGATTTTGACCCTGGTGATTAAGAGTATTGCTCAAAATTCAAGTTACCACTAGGATTGACAACCGGTACTAACAGAGTGTTGCCTTTAGAACAAAAAAATGAAAATCCTAGTTCAGCCTAAGAAGGTGAAAGCCGATG